TGGGTTATGTGATGGACTCCTGCTTTTTAGAATATAAAGGACACTTACAAAAGGTTCTTATTGCTGGTTTTTAAGTAGTCACTCATATGTTACTCAGCCACTTATACCAAAAAGAGAGCAAAACCCCTACCAGCAGCGTTCTTTGGCAGCCCCTGATTCTTTAATGGTGGAGATTTACATCATAAGTAGCACAACATATGCTATTAACTAAATAGTGAATGCCCTTGGAGCAGGTCGCACACTGCTCCTGGCTTCTACTCCCCTGTTCAGACTTCATAGGTTACGTATCCACACTGTATGGCTTATTTCAGTCACCACCTCCTCTTACGTTTCCTTGAAGCAATGTTATTTACAGTGACTCTTGTACCATCAGCCCCTCTCCCTATGGCTGGAGAGGAGATCTCCCTTCCTTGTTATCTCTAAGTCTAGGCTTAGTCAACCCTGTTTCTCTTCCCAGCACTTCCTTCTTTTATCTTATCAGGCTTCAGCTGGTGGACTAATTCTTTAGCTCCCCCAGCTTTCCACCTGATTAGATAATTTCATTCCATTCCCCACTCTAATTGGTACCAGGGGGATCAGAGTGCTGGCTCAGGTGCTAGCTCCCAGCCTTCTGTTACAGCCCTGAATACATGATCACTCCTTTATTTTTCACACCCTAGTTTAGATGGGCATTTTTTGTACTTACAGTATTGCCACCTATTGAAAATGAGCAAGTGCTCTTACACTGGTGAGTGAGCTGGTGACTGTTTGGGGCATGCAACTGAAAGATGCAATCTTGCAGGGTACTGAACGATGCAATCTTGCAGAGTACTGAACACCTTTGGTGGGGTGCTGAGGTTCCTTTGCGCCCATTGATGTCAATGACATGGTGCACCTTTTTAAAATCTAGCCCCTCACTGTTTCAAGGGAATTGAAATGTGTTTTCCTTTCATTTTAAATGGGCCTATTTGTATTTGATATTCAAACACAGCAGGTTGCTCTTGAAAATGAGTTCTCAAAGAATAATGGCAATTAAAAAACCAAAGAGACTGAACAGTTAGTTTTCCAGGCTAATACATGATGACTCATAGCTCCTTTTTTCTTGTTTGTGCTACCTCAGATGAAGAGCCCATGAAAAATGAACAGAAAATCCATTTTGTGTTCAGCCATTGCTTGTCAACTTGCTTTAAAAGGTATTTGCTTAGGGCTAATGTTATCTACTGGGTCCGAGGAGGATTACGTCAGTTATAATTCTTACACTGTTTCATGTTCTTTTTTAAATTGGACTGAGGTGTGTTTTTTTTTTTTTTTTTTGGCTGAACGCCTGACATCCCAAATCTATAGATAGATTTAACAGAACTCAATTTTTAAATATAATTTTGATGGATAATATCAATAGATAATATCAATATTTTTCAGCATTTTTTTTCTATTTTATCTATTTAAACATTCAGTTACAGGAAGTCGTGCGTGGATCAGACAATAATTGACACATTGAGAGGCAAAAAGCTAAAGCTTTATAGTTGGTTAAACACAAATTGTCAACATTACATGTCAAAATATACTAAGCAAACAAAGCATTTTTCTTGTTTTGTCCATCTGTAAGTTTAGATTATCTATGGAAATATTTTTTCATCCATTTGTGTGTATGCTGAAATCAATATTTATTGACATTTACCTCATAAGCCTATCTGTAGAGCAAGAGAAAAGCTGTTTCTAACTGACTATGGTTTTAAGAAAGCTTTTTCTATCTTGGAAGTAGAAAGAGATTGGGAGACGTTCTTCCAGTGATTCTAGCCCTGGACAAACATTGAGTAGATACATATCTTTCAATTCACAGACCTCCTCCAAGAACAAGTCTGTCTTCCTTGATTTCCTGATAGGGAAATACATGGTGACAATAGATAATATACAATTATTTATTTCATTAATTGGCTGAGAAATTATTTCAAATATATTTAAACTAAATGACCATAGGTGTTAGGGAATATGCTTTTTTATCTTCTGAGATTTTAATAGAGAGCATGATTCAGGCTCCTAAGGAATCCTGTGGGGAAAAAATGATACAACTTCTGCCTCAATAAATGGCTTAACAACTCAGGTACAGGAGCAATGAAGATCTGTTTCCACCTTACAATCAAGTTATCTACAACATGATAATAAGCAGAGCTGATCAAATAATGAAGAAACAATGTTCAAACCCTGAAGGCTGTTTGGTTTGATTTTGTTTGGGTTGCTTTTTATTTCCTATATATATAAATGGGTTTCTGTTCATACAGCTAGAGTTATTGCTCTTCTTGCAGACATCCAGATTTGCGTGTGAGCCAGAATGTTAATCAGAGCTTGAATAATCCACTAACCAATGGCAAGAGCTACCACTTTCCACAGGATCTAGGTTTTCATTTAAAAAAAAAGTCTCTGGGCTCCTGGTAATGAGGAAAATCTTGCAAACATGAGGTGAGTGGAACCAATGTTCGAGATCTTCCTAATGTGCTGGTTGGGAAATGTTTTTTCCCCTATGTCAAATTTATGAAAATTAAGAAAAAATGTTTGAGACAAAAACTTTCTTTTCATATCAAACAAGAACCCCCCCCAAAAACAAACTGGTTCTGGCTTTCAGTTTTGGATGAAAGTTTCAGATTTTAATGGCCTAAAAACCAAAGGGTGTTTTTTGTGGAAGGGGGAGGGTTTGGGGATTTTTTATGAGAATCTGACAAACTTAGTCAAAAACAGACATTTCCTGCAGAAATTTCCATTTTGGTAACAAAGCCATTTATTGGGTGTGTTAAGGAAAGTGGGATGAGAGAGGGCCTAGTCACCCCTTCTAGGAGTGGGTGCCCCGGTGCATGGCTATCTCAAGCCCTGGAACACAAAATTGTGGGGTGGCATGTCACTGCCCGGAGCCTGCCATATATGTAAGGAGATTCATCCTTACCCTACCCCAGTAGAAAGCTGTGTTGGGGTAGCAGGAGAGGCTCATATGGCAGGACTTTCTGCTGAAGTGGTGGGGGGACAATACCTCACAGAGCCTTGTCTTAGGTGGGATAATGTCAGGATAAGACCACCATATTTACGAGCCCCCAGCTTGGGTAGCAGATAGGGGGCCCACTTAGACTACACTGTCGGCCAACAGAGCACATTGTATTAGCAGGATAAAAATGCCTTCCTTTCTCTTTCCTTGGGTCTGCCTGTCACAAGGTAACTGGTCTCCGTCCGTAGACCAGTCTCCCCACCCTGTGCAGAGCAAGTGGGCCCAGATGAGCCAATTAAAGAGAGCAGGGCTACACCTGGGGCTATAAAGGCCTGTCAGAGGGCAGTAAGTGGAGGAGTGATTGGGGTAGACTATATTTGAGGAGAGGAATTACAGGTGTGGGTGGGGGTTACTCCTGGTGATCAGAAGGGGAACAGAGCTGGCTGAGAGCAGATCTGGTTGAATGAGAGCTGGCTATGAGAAGGGATTTGGCTGGGACTGAGAAACTACCAAAACAGCCAGGGCCGGCTCTAGGATTTTTGCCTCCCCAAGCAAAAAAATTTTTGGCCGTCCCCCCTTTTTTTCATGCCCCCAGCCCCAACTCCACCCCTTCCAAACACCTTCCCCAAATCCCCAGCCCTGCCTCCTCCCCTGGGCATGCCGCATTTCCCCCCCTACACTGCTTCCTGCGGGCCTCCCGCCCTAGCTCACCTCCACTCCGTCTGCTTCCTTGGGCGTGCCACTGCTCCGCTTCTCCCCCCTCCCTCTCAGGTGAGGGAGGGCGGAGAAGCAGAGCAGCGGTGCGTTCGGGGGGGCAGGCGGAGCAGAGGTGAGCTAGGGTGGGGGGGAGTAGAGGAACCACTCCCCGCTCCAGCTCACCTCTGCTCCACCACCGCCTTCCCCGAGCACCCACCGCTCGGCTTCTCCTCCCTCCCTCCCTCTCTCCCAGCCAGCCTTGCTGCACGAAATAGTGGTTTCGCACACGGCAAGCCTGGGAGGGAGGGGGGAGAAGCGGAGCAGCGGCGCGTTCAGGGGAACAGGCAGAGTGGAGGTGAGCTAGGGTGAGGGGGGTGCAGGAAGTAATGGGGGGGTAGAGGAACCACTCCCTGCTCCAGCTCACCTCCGCCACCTCCCCCGAGTGCCCCGCCACTCGGCTTCTCATCCCTCCTAGCCTTGCTGTGTGAAACAGCTGTTTCGCAGGCAGCAAGCCTGAGAGGGAGGGGGCAGAAGCGGAGCAGTGGCGGCACGCTCAGGGGAGCAGGCGGAGGCATAGCAGAGGCGAGCTGGGGCAGCGAGCTGGGGCAGCGGGGGCACTTTTTCCCCATGCCCCAGAGTCGGTGCCAGAATGCCGCCCCTAGAAATGTGCCGCCCCAAGCACCTGCTTGTTTTGTTGGTGCCTGGAGCCAGCCCTGAACAGAGCCCTCTGGGAGGGGAGGCTATGAAACCTTTTGATAAAAGGTAAGCTAAGGAACTGTCTTGGCTGTATGTGCTTAGGTTTGGATAAAGAAACCTATTTAAAGAAGACTGGGCATGGCAGTGAGTGCTTGTTAGGCTGGGGAGAAGCCCTGCTGTGTCCCATATGGTTGAGTATTTGAATGTCAGTGGCCCCTGATATGAGGGGAGATTGAGATGGATCTTTAGTGCCCTGTGAAAAGAAGGAAAACAGAGGTAGAGTACTGTAGAGCAGCCTCTGGCCAGGAGGAGTGCTTGGGTAGTGGCTACTATATTATACACCCCTGTCCTTTTCTCTCCCTGCCTAGCAAAGGGATCTTCATATTTTTATTACCTGTCATACCTAAAAGCCTGCAAAAACTTCACAAAAGCAAGGAATGAAAGCACTTAACTAAACTTAACTCTGCATGTGTTTTGCCCTTGCTTACTCCATAAATTCAGAACATGCTCTTCACCATTGTTTGCAGGTGGCAAGGACGATTGGTCAATGAGATTGTTTTGTTTACATCTCTCCATGTTGAAAAGGAAACTGAATATCAAATGATCAGTCTGAGTTTTCAGGAAGCTATGACATTGTGTGGGTGTTAGGTACCATGGAAACATCTCTTGATAGTGTGCACTTGAGTGAGCTTTTGCCATATGACTCTGTAGCAGCAAGTGTTTACCTTGAGGAATCCATGTTTACAAGTACTCAGTTTCTACCTTCAGTAGAAATCTCTGTGACATTCTAGACTAAAGTTAGAAATAGCAAATTAACTATCTTCACTCTCCATGCTAACATTCTGAATGGCTGTGGTTAAGTTTGCATGACTGAACAGAAGCAATGTGGCCATGTCTTCTGAGTGGAACATCTGAAAATGCAGCACACACCAACGCAGGTCTAACATGGGAACAAGTGCCTCCCTTTTGGTTTGTGTAAGTGGATTTTCATTGGCTTATTTATTCTATTCTGTGTCCTAGCTGCATTCACAAAAGCTGCTGAGAAAGATGCAGGTTTTTTCCCCCCACTATAATATGCAGCAGCATGGGAGGGAGAGATTGTTAGACCAGGACACCCTTAAAAGTGTGGGGTTTTTAATACAATTGTTAATCTCATTGACTTTAAAGTCAATACAGTGTAAATGGAGCACAAAATTATAGTTCTTTTTACATGTTAGTATTTGCTTCTTTAAGTAGATCAATCATATGCTGTAGCATTGAGCTAGTGTCAAACTTTCTAATATACTGGTAAGAAACACCTTTTGTGCATATGTGCCATGGCAACAGAATTGAACAAATAAGTCCTAACTTTTAGCATTGTTAGGAAGCGAATTTGTGAAGTGACAGAATGGCATTTCTACTATAGATCTTTATGGATTTTTTTTTTTTAAACGTGACAATAAAATAGTTGAAAAGATACTAGTTTTAAAGTGTTTTGGGATGATACTAGGAAAACTTAAAAAGATTCCTTTTCAAACAATGAAATATACATACTACTTAAATTGTTCTTAAATTATACTACTTAAATAGGATTTATAGCCTTTATTTTTATTCTATTTTTATTTTGAAATGTCTCCTACCTAACCTACTGGTGATCATAGTTTGAAGTATGGAAATGTAGCTTATTGCTCAACTGGCTAATTTTTGCCATCTCATCCATATTCGGCAAGATCTAGGATGGTGATATCACAGGACTACCGGCCAATGGTAGTTCCCTCTTGTCAAAAACGCTGTTGTTGATTAATCCCGCTTCTCAGAAGTGCTGGTGCATCAATAAAAGGCTATGCCAGGTGAAACAGATAGTGGTTTTGCCCCCCACTATTACAAACATGCTATACTTTCTCCTAAATCTTATTCTTCCTTGTTGCTCTATTAATGTGGTGTTACAGTTGCAGCCATCAGTTTTTGCTGATATCTCTTATTTTAAGCCATGCAATAAAATCATGAGCAGGTATAATCTACATGCTGAAGATGCATGTTTTCCTTAGTTCACAAAACTTATGGCTGTTTAACCAGGATTGAAATTTTGTATGGAAGTTCTCAGCAGCTGAGGTTAGATTTGCTTCAGGAGGGATACAATGATTGAGTTTCCTGACCTCAAGGATTGGAAGCTGCAGTAATGTCCCTTTCTTGAAAACGTGGCATTAAATGACCTTCCATGCAGAAGGCATTCCCAGGGGGACCTAAGCTCTTATGACAATACTTAGGAGTTTTCTCCTGTGTGGTAGCTTGAATGGGGCTGCAGATTTTCATTAGGCCTTGGAATGATGCAGATGTTTTAAAGCCTGGGATTTATTTGGGATGGCCAAGCCTAGTATGTTGCATTACTTTAATTTGAGTACTGACTGTGTGGAGGCTTGTGACAGACAGCTCAAGTTGGCTATTGCTTCCCCTTACTACTAGGATAGGCTGCCTTTGGGAGTTACCTTGTCTGAAGTTTAACTGTTATAATGAAATTGCAGTCACCTGGTCAAAATTCCAGTTGCTTTCTTTATTGCACCTCCCTTTTTGTTGCAACATAAACTCGCTCCATGGGACTCCTTTTGTAAGAGTTATATTAGCTGGCTGATCTCTAGTGGTTGTAAACTTCTTGCAATAAATTTTGTCTACAATGGTCTTTGCAACAACAAATGAATCACCAGTTTAGTCCAAGATCTGACTCTATCACAATAGTGTGCGAGCTGTATACATGCATTACTTAGTCCTGCCACGAATGCAGGGGACTGGACTTAGATGACCTCTTGAGGTCCCTTCCAGTCCTACAATTCTATGATTTCAATATACAGCACTTCCTAACATCACTAAAAATCGATGTCCGATGAATGTGATATTGGAATTGTTATGCTTTCATCTATTTTATACAAACCATGTGTGATCCTTGTCAGCTGCCCCCCTGAGCCGCTAGGGGGCAGTGGGGAGCTACGGCGTCACTGGCCAGTGGCAGGGAGAGTCTGGAGCGTACCCCTCAGGCAGGGGAGCACCGGCAAAGGTCTGTGGCGGTGTCTGGATTTTGGCCCCGAGGCGGGTCGGCTGGGTAGTCCACCGCTGGCAGCTCCAGCTCTCCCTCAGGCTCGGGTTCCTCGGGGAATTCAGCTGCTGGCAGTCCTGGTAACCCAAGTCCTTCCTGCAGGTGAGGTTTCCCCCAGTCCAGGGCCTCCCCTGGTGTGGCAGCAGGGTCTGAAGGGAGCAGTCAGCGTCTGCCTCCCTCCCTGGTGCTGCCCTGACTGAGCTAAGGGCCCCGCCCTTTGTACTTCCTGTCCCACCCCTCCCCTTCTGGGGGGTGGAGTGAGCTTGGCCTGGCCCCGCCCACTCAGGCTGAGAGAGTGGCCCTTTACCCTCAAGTTCGGAGGGAAGGCACCCTGGCTCCCTACACCATGCCAGAGGTCAAATCATTCAGTCTTGGAAACTACCTGCTTTAATTTATTCTCATTTGAGAACTTTTGAGGTATGCAAAAATAATAGCAAATTAAGCAAAAGTGGTACAAAAATAATGTCTAGCAGTTCTGGCACTCATGTTCTTTCATGAAATTTGTGGCATACACCGGGATCTTCAATGAATAAGAAAGCTTGCAAATGATAGATTTGGGTTGGTAGAAAAATAAAATGCTCATTGTCAATTTCATTTTTAACTTTTCCAGTTAATTTAATAAATGCTATTTGTATGTGCCCAAAGGAGAAATTATTTCTGACCTGGAGTCAGGAGAACACTGCTAGTGGGGTTTTTTTTTTAACTATGCATTCACTGTCCTCTAGACAATGGTGTTCGTATTCATGGTATGAAGAAGATAATGAGCAGTCAAAACATCCATCTTGCTTCCTACTGAACAGTGTAACGTGTTAACAGTAAAGAGAAAAATCTTACCTAGTGACGCATTTTTTTTAATAGCACCCGTATGAAATACACATCATTTTTCCTGAAAAAGGATTGCAAGACTCAACGAGCTGTTGATAGACACAGTTTAACTGCAATGTTATTTTCACTGGTTGTTGAATAAGTCTGAGGTTCACATGGTTGTGTGCACTTATCAGAACACAAAGCTACTCCTTTTTTTTTTTTTAAGGATTTGAGGGCAATCCTGCTTGTTTTACTAACGTGAGCTGATCTCATTATCAACAAGTAGTCTTCAGTAGGATAACTGGTGAGGAAGCATGGTCCAATGGTTAGGGCTTGGGAGACCTAGGATCAAATATCTGGTCCACCACAAACTTCCTATGTGTTGCTGGGTGAGTTATTTGGCCTCTCTACACCCAGTTTCCCATAAGTAAAATGGACCTGATAGTACTTCCCTATTTTAAAGGGGTTCTGTGAGGATAAATATACACACAATTGTGAGGATCTCAGATACTATAGCAATGGGAACCATATTAGGGCCTAAAATAGGTTCTAACTTGCTCAGTTCACAGGTAAGATTTGACTGTTTGTAACCAATATCGGTTTTATCGAAGAAAGGTGATATGGTGGAGTAGACAGACCCTACACCAGATAGGAAAGGGTTAAAGTGTATTCCCTGGGCTTAGTTAGCCCTACCTCACTACGCCTGTGCTGAGTTCCCAGCTGTAGATAGCTCTTTGAGAAGGGAAGCAGACAAGCTGCTGCTGTGTGAGTTAAGGAGCTTGGCTGTGGTTTGTAGCTTGCCTTGGGAGGAGGTAGGCTTGTCCTGGATGACTGATTAGAGAAGAGCCATAGAACTGGTTGTTAAATGGGAAAACAGGCTGATTGTAGCTGGGATCCTGCCTGTGAGAAAGGGGGCTGAAGGCTGAGCCTGGCAGGACTGAGAATTCTCTTGTTTGATATGTTTATTGGATTTGGACTAAGTGACTCTGCTACCCCAGAGGGGGTTGAATGCTTTAGAGCCAGAGTCGGCAACCTTTGGCAGGCGGCTCGCCAGGGTAAGCCCCCTGGCGGGCTGGGCTGGTTTGTTTACCTGCCGTGTCCACAGGTTCGGCCGATCGCGGCTCCCACTGGCTGCGGTTCGCCGCTCCAGGCCAATGGGGGAAGCGGGAAGGGTGGCCAGCACGTCCCTCGGCCTGTGCCACTTCCCACAGCCCCCATTGGCCTGGAGCAGCAAACCGCAGCCAGTGGGAGCCGCAATCAGCTAAACCTGTGGACGCGGCAGATAAACAAACCGGCACGCCAGGGGGCTTACCCTTGCGAGCCGCATGCCAAAGGTTGCCGACCCCTGCTTTAGAGTGGCTTGACTGGAGGGCCAAGTCACCTCTATATGGAAGGAGTAGGCTGAAGAACTTATGTGGAAACTGAGGCGGAGCTGCCACATTGCCATGTCCAGCCCTGAGGCGGTACACAGTGATAAGCAGCTTGTATTATCACAGAGGATTTATTTATTTGTTTATTTGCAGCAGTCACTGTCTTCAGTTAAAATTAAGCCAGGCACAAATAAAGTGGCACCAGATTTCCAGCTCACCAAGAGGAGAAACAACTTTGGTGTTCCCCTTGAGACTCTTGCACAAGAGGCAACACAATGCCAAGTTCCTTTTGTTGTGATGCAGATGGTGGAATACCTAGAAATGTTTGGTAAGTTGATAACTTGTTCTGCTTTCTAGAAACTTTTTGTTTGTACTTTTAGTCAAAATAAAGAGCTGTCATTAATTTGCTTTGGGTAAGCAGGACTACAAAGGAGAATAGTAGCTAATGGGAGAACATGTATATTTCCACTACTTTTGTTAAAAAAAAAAAAAGTTTTAACAAATTTTGATTAGGTTGGTTTAGAATGAAAAAATGTGATCTGCTGACTTGAACTCCCTGGATATCAACCAAACCAGTAGTTGAAAACTCCTTGTGGCATTAAAGGGTAATAATGAAGGAATATTATTTAAAAAAAACAAAAAACCTGGAAATACTGAATTAAACAACTCTTTTGGGGTGTGTGAGATTGAACAATTAGGCAAACTTATTTGATTCCAAAATGCATTTGTCAGGTCTCTGTAGACACTATCAGAAAACTGTTTTTCCTCCTTGTGTAATTTATAATAACCGGTAATTATTGTTTTTTAATAGGCCTGGATCACGTAGGTTTATTTCGAATCAGTGGCTCAGTGAACAAAATCAAAGCATTGAAGCGGAAGTATGATCAAGGTGAAAAAGTGGACCTCATTAATGATGGTGACATAGATTCTGTTGCAAGCCTCTTTAAACTTTTCCTCAAGGAGCTTCCAGTGGCTGTTTTCCCAGACAACTTACATGCTAACCTTCTTAAAACCTTTGAAGGTAAAACAAAGGCTAAATTCATTCGAAATGTCAATGGCATTTCAGCTGGGATGACTTTTTTGTCCAGAAATGGCCGACTAGTGTACACACAGCAGAATTTAAACACTGTAATCAACATATGTGTGAGTGTTTGCATAACTTCACACTTTAAAGGGTGGGTATTTTGTGGATCCCCCTGTGCAGTGTGTCCAATTGACTTACAATAGAACCTCCGTTATGAACATCTTGGGAATACAGGTTCGTTGAAACTCTGAACAAAACAATACAGTGTTTTTTCCCCAAAGTTTACAACTGAACATTGACTTAATACAGCTCTGAAACTTTACTATGCAGAAGAAAAATGCTACTTTTAACAATCTTAATTTAAATGAAACTAGCATAGAAACAGTTTCCTTACCTTGTCAAATCTTCTTTAAACTTTCTCTTTATTTGTATAGCAGTTTGTTTAACATAGTACTATGCAGTATTTGCTTCCTCCCTTCCCTCCGCCCCTTCTGCTGCTGCCTGATTGCGTACTTGTGGTTCCAAATGAGGTGTGTGGTTGACCAGTCAGTTCATAACTCTGAGGTTCTACTGTATATTGCAAGTGTGTTCAATTTACAACTATCCAAGACACAATAGTTATTGCCTTAGCTATTGCATAGTATTGAGCTATCACAGTTAAAATATTTAGGGGATTCAATCATTCTCATCCCACCCCTCCTATTAAAGTGAGTTGTATTTGTGAACCCATATTTGCCATTAAAATGTTCCTCTTTGCTGCAGGGAAAGTGAAAAGGTCAATGTCCCTGGACATGGAATTTTAAACCTCTCTTCTGTAACTACAGTACTATATTTATAGTGCAAAAATGCCCTGAAACTGTAAATGTTACCAATTAGTAGGGAAACGAAGACTGATGTGGTGCTGAAAGGTTATAATTTCCCAGTCTTCTCTTAGCATGAATCACACAGCATGTGGCAAATCTCCAGCAAGAGTCACAGCTGACAATCCTCCCACAGCTTTTTCCATAATGTCTTGGTTATCATATAGCCAGTTGGTCATGTCTTATACTCTCTGCTAGAAATAACAAGAAACACTATATTTTTCTTGCCGGGAGAGGAGGTATGTCACTGACACAAGATAGAATCCAAAGACTGAGAGTGCTCCATAGGAAATTCCAGTAACAAGGGAAACGTTCGTAGTTTAAAGCTAATATGTGAAATAATTAGAGGATTAGTCTAAAAATCACTGGCTTTTGGCATAGATGCGCTTTTTTCCCCTTAGTGTCTCTTTTTGGGGGGTGGGGGAGGGGGAGAGGAGATCTTTTTACAATAAAGTAAATGGTGTAGTAAAACTTGCTGGATGCTTAGAATACCCATCTGTTAGTAACTGAATTAAAACTTAATTCTTCACAGATAATAAGAACCACATGGCTGAGTGTACGCGATGTCTGAAAAGCTTATTAAGCAGCTTTCCTAAGGCCCACTACAGCCTTTTCCAGTTCCTCTCTACCTTTCTGTTGAAGGTGGCATCACACAGTGAAATGAACCACATGACCCTGGAAAACCTCGCCATTGTATTTGGGCCCACCCTTTTCCAGTAAGTATCTTATTTAGATTTATTTTACAGTTGTTTTTGCTTGTATTCCTGGATCCCGCCCTTAAAAACAAGAACAGCAGTAATCCGAGACGAGCTGGAATATTGATGAAAGAGCCTGCTGTACACTGAGGAATGAATGAAAGAGAAGCAGAGCTATACAGAATGTTGATATAGAAGCCCATGCCCACCCCAAAATCTTAGTGCATCTGCCTTGAACATCAGCACAGGTCCAAAGGATCAGCTGACCTGGATTTCCCCTATCCAGCCTGGGCACTCTTCATTTGCCTCCTTGCTCTTAGGCACTGGGTTGTTCTCAGGTTGGAGTCAGTGACATACCCCACCTCTCCAGTGCCCTCCTGGGTGCTGGAAGTTCCCCTCTTTCTACAGATGGCACCAACCATCTTGCTGCTTCAGGGTGGCCACCCATTAAGGGTTCACTTCCCCCTCTTCTAATCCCAAAAGTGTTCAGAGGTGGCAGGACCAGACCCCTCTGAGGGCAGCAGAGGTGGAGAAACACACACTCATGCTGCTAATTTAAAAGCAGGGGGTGTGGACATTGCAGAAACCTTTGTACTGTAGTTAAGGAACTCTTAGTTGGTTCTCTAGCAAACTATGGGTATGTCTACACTAGGAAATTAGGTCGATTTTATAGAAGCCAATTTTTTTTTAGAAATCGATTTGATACAGTCGATTGTGTGTGTCCCCACTAAGCGCATTAAGTCGGCGGTGTGCATCCACAGTACCGAGGCTAGCGTCAACTTTTGGAGCATTGCACTGTGGTAGCTATCCCACAGTTCCCGCAGTCTCCGCCGCCCATTGGAATTCTGGGTTGAGCTCCCAATACCCGATGGGGCAACAATATTGTCGCGGGTGAAAGCAACGGCAAGAAATCGTTTCTCGCCTTTTTTTCCTGGGTTACCTGTGCCGACGACATACCACGGCAAGCATGGAGCCTGCTCATCTCACTAGCACCGTACGTCTCCTGGGTGCTGCTGGCAGACGCGCTACTGCAGTGTTACACAGCAGCATCCCCTTGCATTGCCTTGCCTTGCGGACAGCAGACGGTACAGTACGACTGCTAGCTGTTGTCGTCGTCGTCCCGTGGGTGCTCCTGCCCGACCTCAGTGAGGTCGGTCGGGGGTGCCTGGACAAAAATGGGAATGACTCCCCAGGTCATTCTCTTTAAGTTTCGTCTAATGGAGATTCAGTCCTGCCTGGAATATCATGCCAGCTGGAGGCTTCTGCCTCAGGCTCCTCTCCCAGTCAGCAGCACCACGCGGTCGCACCTACCCCTTGCTCCCATGACCCATGAAGCCTGGACAGTAGTAAGAAGCAGTTCAACTATAGGTTGAGCAAGTGCATAATGGTGGTAGAAAGTGCCTTTGGACGTCTAAAAGCTCGCTGGCGCGGTTTACTGATTCGGTTAGACCTCAGCAAAACCACTATTCCCATTGTTATTACTGCTTGCTGTGTGTGCCACAATATCTGTGAGAGTAAGGCTAGGTCTACACTACCCGCCTGAATCGGCGGGTAGAAATCGACCTCTCGGGGATCGATTTATCGCGTCCCATCGGGACGCGACAATCGATCCCCGAATCGGCGCTCTTACTCCACCAGCGGAGGTGGGAGTAAGCGCCGCCGACAGAAAGCCGCAGAAGTCGATTTTGCCGCCGTCCTCACAGCGGAGTAAGTCGGCTGCGATATGTCGAATTCAGCTACGCTATTCACGTAGCTGAATTTGCGTATCTTAAATCGACTCCCCCCTGTAGTGTAGATGTACCCTAAGGGGGAGACATTTATGGTGGGGTGGGAGGTTGAGGCAAATCACCTGGCCACTGATTACATGCAGCCAGACACCAGGGCGGTTAGAAGAGCACAGCAGGGTGCACTGTGCATCAGAGAAGCTTTGAAAACCAGTTTCATGACTGGCCAGGCTACGGTGTGAAAGTTCTGTTTGTTTCTCCTTCATGAAAACCCGTCCCCTTGGGTCACTCTACTTCCCTGCGAGCCAACTGCCCTCCCCACCCACCTTTGATCCCCGCTTGCAGAGGCAATAAAATCATTGTTGTTTCAAATTCATGCATTCTTTATTAATTTGTCACACAAATGGGGGGATAACTGCCAAGGTAGCCCGGGAGGGGTGGGGGACAAAGGAAGCACACAGGTGGGGTAGTTGTAGGGGCACCCCCTATAATGGCATGCAGCTCATCATAGAAGCGGCATGTCTGGGGCTCTGACCCGGAGCGGCCATTTGCCTCTCTGGTTCTTTAGTAGTCTTCACGGAGTACTGCTGCGAGTCCCTGTTATAATTTCTGTCCTTCATGCCCTTGGAGATTTTTTCAAATATTCCAGCATTACATCTTTTGGAACGGAGTTCAGATAGCATGGATTCGTCTCCCCATACAGTGATCAGATGCAGTACCTCCTGTGCTGGAGCTCTTTTGCAATTCTGGGACTCAATGGTTACCTGTGCTGATGAGCTCTGCATGGTCACCTGTGCTGATCAGCTCACTACGCTGGCCAAACAGGAAATGAAATTCAAAAATTCATGGGGCTTTTCCTGTCTACCTGGCCAGTGCATCTGAGTTGAGAGTGCAGACAGAGTGGTCACAATGGAGCACTCTGGGATAGCTCCCGGAGGCCAATACCATTGAATTGCGTCCACACTACCCCAAATTCGACCCAGCAGGGTCAATTTCAGCGCTAATCCCCTTGTTGGGGAGGAGTACAGAAATTGATTTTAAGAGCCCTTTAAGTCGACAAAAATGGCTTCGTCGTGTGGACGGGTGTAAGGTTAAATTGATTTAATGCTGCTAAATTCGACCTAAACTCGTAGTGTAGACCAGGGTTAAGTGTTAGTCACCAGAGGGTACCTAAGAGTGTAAGGTTGCTAGAGAACCTACCTTAGTGGTTTACTAGCTACAGCACTAGCAAATCTGGGAAGTCCCAGGCCCAGCTTTCTCTGGGGGAGGAGAAAAAGCTTCTGAGGAAGCCAGTTGAGGTCCTTCTGTTCAGAGTGATTTTCAATGGTACTGCCTGGTGTGGCAGATCAGATCCTAGTTGTTTTGGGGATGGCAGGGAATTAGAAAGCACACACTATTCCCAGTATATTATTCTGAGTAATACTAAGGCTTGACTATTGGTGTTCTCCACAACTGTTTTATAGACTGTCAGCCAATCAAGTTTCTGGAAGACTGACACTAACTCAATTTGGTATAACACGGAGATCTTGGTGTGTGTTGTGTGGTGGGTGTTTTAAGATTAACATTTACTGATTTGAATGAACATTAAGATTTGTTTTCATTACTGTGTGGGTGCATATGTCAGCTACTAAAAACTTCTCCCCTCTGGCCTTCTGCACTCACTTTCTCCTGCTTCATTTCACTCGGTACACAATAGTTTTTTGCAAAAATGCATGTAATGCTTTTGCAAGAATGATCTAGCTTCCTCTTTCTCTAACGAGGTCTGGACCCTGTTTGGTTCTCTCCATTGGTTTTCCTTAGCTTGCTGCACCTGACTTAAGCACCTTATCCCCTTGCTTTACGGACCCTGCTTAGCATCTGCTTATCTCTCCCCTCAAGTATCCTGCTCTTCCCTCTGCCTACTTTTTTCTATGAAGTTCCCTATGCTTGGAACCACCTCCATAGCCCCATCCTCTCCTCCCAGTCCTCTTCTAAAATACCTTCCTTCCTGAGGCCTATAAACCCTTGTTCTTTTCCCCTCCAAGGGAGTAGAAACTACCCTCTCACAATGAAAACTAACAGGAAAATAACTCAAGCTGTGTGACCCTCCAAGCTTTATCCCTCTGCTTACTGTTGTATTATTTGCTTTGCAAGTGGGCTGTCTTGGATTGAAAGCTCTTCAGGCCTGGATCTTCTCTTGCTATCAATAAAGCAGAAGATACACTGGTGCTATACGAATAATAGAGCTGGTTCAAAAAATACCAACTGTTCTTCATAGGGATTTTTTTATTGATTGGAAAAAACTAAACACAACGTCCTCCCCCAGCAAATTTCAATGTTTCATTGGTATTTGTATATTTTATTGGATGCTTTTCTGTTTTTCTTTAGTTCATTAGTTTTTAAAGGTATTTTAGTCACCTTTAGCTGCAGATGGGCATCTGGCAGCATTTTCAAAAATGCCTAGGGACCCGATCCATTGCAGAACTGCTATGGGCCTTGCCACCCCGTTAAATGCATGTCCCTGAGTTAAGTGCCCAGATTTGTGCCCAGATTTCTCCAACTGTGTGTGTGTGTGTGTGTGTGTGTGTGTGTGTGTGGCGCATCTAACAATGGGATCTCCAAAAGCCAGCATGATCAGAGGGGAATTTCTAAGTTCATCTCTTGCAAATGCCTAAGCCCCACCACTCTCAGGGACTTAGTCCTAAACCACTTTTCCAAGAGCCACCAGTGTGGGAGATGGTGGCAGATACCTCCCTTATAATCTCTTGCCTAGTAGTAAGGGTACTTGCCCAGGATGTGGGAAATGCGTTCAACTCCTTCCTCTGCATAATGTGACCAAGGATATGGACTTGAGTTTACCACCTTACAGGTGAGTGCCCTAATCACTGGGCTATGGACTCGTTCTCACCTGCTCTCTGGCCCAACAGATATTTATTTATATACAGTGGAATAGCTTCCATAGGAGAGGATCACCCCACACTGTACACACCCTGGAGCCTAGGGCACTCACCTGAGCAGGGGGAAGGCTATGTTCAAATTGCTGCTTTGTGGGGGGCAGAGTTTGAACCTGAGTCTTCCACAGTATGTGTGAGTGTGCTAACCAGCAGACTCAAGTTATAAGGGAGGCTGCTGCCTCCTTCATCCCCAGTTATTTTGTGAGGGTTTAGGTACATCATTAAAATACCTACCAGATCAGTAGTTGCAGATAAGAGGAGTGGGGGAACACCTAGTATGGGATCCTGCTGAGCTTTAGGTACCCAGCCACTGCAACTCAAGTGGCTGTCCATATACTCACTGGCAGAAATTCAGGCACCTATG